CCAGCTACTTGGAAGGCTGAGGCAGAAGGACCGCCAGAGCCCAGCAGGTTGAGACTGCGGTGGCCAGGAGCAGCCACTGCCCTCCAGTCTGGGCGACTGAGTGAGACTCCAACTCAAAATAATAATAATAATAATAATAATAATAACAACAACATGCACCATTTTGTCTTATTTGTCCATGAGGAGTTATGTTTCCACTGCATGCCATATAATAGATGCTTAGTGAATTTTGAATTAGGAAGGATAAACAAAACTTTGGTGAGCTAGTTAATACATTTTTAGGTTACAATACTATTTTGGAAACAAGAGTTACTATTATATAATAAGAATAAAACATATATACCTTTGTTTTGTGAAAAATAGAGCTTGAAAAAAATATTTATTCATTTGACAAATGTTATTGTCTTTTATGTGCCAAACACTGTGCTAGTCACTGGAGAGATGCAGGTTAAAATACACACACTCTTGTCCCAGGCACTTTGATGAGAAAACACATCCATCACAGAACATGGAGATAGGTGCACGACATGACAAGCAGCAAACAGAATGGCAAATCCAAGCCTGACTACACATCAGAGATTCAGTATGATGAAAGTTAAGTTACATTTATGTTTCATGAGAAAATAAATATAGAATGTTAATTAGGTAGCCACACACTTGTAGAAATACAAAAATATACTTTGATGTAGAATTTAGATCTCCTAATTTTCAGTCTAATCCTTTATTTAAAGTGGATATTCTAGAACCCATAAATCTGAATTTGCTATAATATCCTCCTTTTATAATGAAGGAACTATGGTCCAAGAAGAGAAGGTGACCCATTTTAAGACTGTACCCCTTATTTTAGATGTAAAGCTAGAAATTTTAGAATTCAGATCTCTTGCAGAAGAGTTTAATGCACTTTCTACCATCTTTTGATATTTATTAAAATAGGACTACTTTACCTTGTCCAGAATGGGATTCTGGACTCAGGATTGCCAGCCTTGCAACGTTTAGATTTCTAAAAAGAGTATATACATAAACAATGACCTTGTGTAAGTATTATATCTGTGATTTTCAACACACCAGAAAGAAATAATAAGGTCCCATCAGTAGCAGTAGCCTACTATAGACAAGAAATACCAGAAAGGCTCTTTCAAAACATCCAATAACCTCAGATGCAGACATATCTAATTAGAGGCTCATGAATGAGCTTGGTGGGGGAGAAAAGAGCATAAATATCTTAAAATTTTGTGAAAAATATGCATATGTGCATTAGAATCCCCAAAAGGTTAAAAGTTACATTATTAGTGAATTTGTACATTAGTAAATCTTTGATATGTACCATTTGGATATGAAGAGCTTACCGTATTAGACAAGATTCGTATTTCTGGTAGTTAAAGATTCATTTTAAGTATGCAGAACGAATCCTAAGCTTTATTATTTTTTTGCCACAATTCCAGTTATAAATTTATCTTTGCTCCTAAAATTTTTTAATGTAATAACATTATGTGTATTATAAAGCAAACACACTTTGAAATAAAATCTTATCAAGACTTAATCTACTGAATATAAACTAGTTCTTAAGATTTTGAAATCCTTAAGGGTAAAAAAACAGTTATTTCTTCCATCATCAAGTGTTGATTGAGTGCTTATAATGAGCTGAACAGTGTGTCTCTGCCTTTCTGGCGCACACATACTAATGAGAGTCAGCTTCATCTTCACATGCCCAATGCTGAGTATAGTGCTAGTCATACTGTGACAACTCAATAAAAGTTCAATTGAATTTTTAGAAATCATATGTTATAGGATGAAAGTAATACAAACATTTGCAAACATTTCTTATTATAAAGACATTTTCTAACTTAAAAGCTTGGTGGAAAGAGAAGGACCAGTCTGAAAATAAGGAAAGCTGGGTTTCAATCCTACCTGTGACATTCTCAAGCTAAACGTCTTTGTGTAAATTAGTTAATATGCAGAATTTCATTTCTAGTAAAATTAGATAGCTGAACTAGATGATCTCTAGAGTTGCCACTAAGCTTATAAATACAGATGCTTAATAATCAGTTGTAAAAACCAAAATCTCAAAGGCTTTCAAATTTTAGTTATTGTAAATATACAAAACTACTTTGAGTATAATAAGAATTCGTCTCTCCCAGAACACAATTCTAACTTTCATAAAGGTGCCACAGATCTTAGCAAATGTTCACTTCCTTCATCTCTTCTAATCTCCCCTCTGTTCCTTCTAGCCTATTTCCTTAAAAAAGAATTCCAGGCTGCTTATAATCAAACACACCATTAATAATAAAACTACATCCCTAAAATGGGGCAGGGAAATGCACGAGAGGAAGAGATGAGATTTGAATGGAGAGTGAGAGATCCAGAACAAAAGAGTAGACTCATAGACAATGATATTGGAGTAGGGGCAGTAATTGAAGGGTGTAACTGGTATTTAACAGTTTCTGTAGCAAGGTAGTAATAATGGAAGGAATAATAACAAATCATACTAAGAACTTTTCCTAGCACTGAAATTCCTTAGTGGAATTTATTAAGTGAATCTTTATTAAACATAAGACTCAAAATCAGACATTCTACATACAGCCACTTCTACTGTAATAAAATTCTGGAACATAAAGATTTAAAAATCACTTGAATACAAAGATTATGGTAGCAGTGATTTCTGTTTTATTCATCAGTGTATTTCCTATGTTTAGAATAGTGGGCCTAGTACATATAATTTATTGAATGTAAACTGTAGTTCAATAAGCATATTTTTACAAGGAGACGATTTTATCATCAGGAAATGTAGTTCTATAAAGAGTTAATCTGATATAAAAGTAAAGCTTTAAAAAATCTAGGATGAACGATTGGTATGCTCCAGGACGTTCATTCCTAATCTGGCTTCTTAAAAATAAAAATTTTAGACTCAATCCCAGACCCACTAACAAAAACTCACAGCATATGTCTAATTCTAAAAGATCTTATTGCATAATTCAGATGTTTGAGAATCACAGCTATGTGGCAAATAATTCAAAACTAAGTGTAATGAGAGTAACACATTAGCACCAAATCCAAGAGAGCTTGCACGTAATGTTTAACTATCAAAGAAATCACAGCAGGGAAAGACATCAGTTTATTAAAACCTATGGGAGGCACTGACGGTGGCTGGTCAGTTGGTAAAGAGTCCACGCCTCAGGACAGTACAGCAAGCAGTTTTATTATCTAGCAAGTTAACTATTCAGATTGCTATATGATGCTTACACTGCCTACATTGCTGCTCAATCACCTGCATCCCATGTCTCCTTCAGAGTTCAGTCTTAGCCAGAGGTTGCTCCCTGAGGGAGAGGAAGAAAGAAGCCAGATATGGGGGAAAAGAGTCTATGTCTAGACAATATCTTCTAATCAGTAAAAAAAAAAAAAGTGAAAATATGGTCATATTTTAAAAGAAATCTATATGCTACCAACACCGCAGGAGCAAAGTTGTTTTTTTGGGGTTTTTTTTTTTTTTTGAGAAATTCAAGAGTTTGAATTATGTGTCTGCCAAATGCAGTTAACAAATATCTGAAATATGATTAGTGTGACTGAAGAACTAAATTTTAAATTTTATTTAATTTAAACTAGTTTACATTTAAATTTTAAAAGTCATATGTTGCTGGTAGCTACTATATTGGACAATAAAGTTCAAGATCATCTAAGTTATAATAATGATTTTTCAAAGTTTCAAAATTCATAAGTAAAGAAAAATAAATTCATAAAAAGATTAGTTGGAAGCTAAGATAAAGATAAATTAAAAGGTAAAATATAAATACAATAGTTTGGTAAGCAAAACTTACATTAAAAAGTAATTTTAAAAGCATAACTATCAAGAAAATGTTAATGTTAATAGTATCCCTAACTTTTGATTTTTAACGACCAGGAGAGGTAATCACTTTATGTGGTTTCAGAGTCCTTGATGGGACCAGTCTACCCTAAGAAAAGACAGAAAGAAAAAGAAAACCTTTACCCACATATAAAATGTCATTGTAAACACACATAAATGCATCCTGCAGGCATTTAACTCCATGTTCAATTCTTACAAGCTACAATAAAGAAAAACGTTCTCATTGAAATCTTATTATTTTAAGATTTAATCTAAGTCCTTTACCCATTTATAATTGTGTGAGGTAATCTGTAATTTCTCACTAGCCGTCTTTGACAATACAATCACCTTTAGCATGGGACACTACTGTGAAAAGGGACTTTGTGTATTTTTTCCTAATAGAAGAAAATTTAACACAAAGAACTAGTTATTTGAGTTCAATTTTCCATCTAAGAGTCTAGAATCTAATATAAAATACACTGTTCAATAAGTAAATACCAAAATAGTAAATTCATTGTGAGTAATGGTTATAATGGGTATTTAT